ATTAATTTCCAGAATGGAGAAAACTTTTTCAAGTGTCTCTTTGAAATAGTTTTTATAGTGCCTGAAAAGTATGAAATAACTCATTTTTTCATATATGAGGAAATAACATATTTTGGGGAGGAGGACAGAGCATCTTTCTTAAGAATCTAAGACCAGAGGGTTTAAAATACAAAGCATAACACTAAAGTTACACTTTGGACACTACTTAAATTTGAAATGATCAGAAAAAATCCACTGGAGTGTCAAGGTCATTCACCCTTATTACTGTGATGCAAAATTAAAAAAATAAATAAATAACAAAACAATGCATTTTTTTTTTTGCCAAAGATTTAAGATAGGGATAAGAGTATATATTTAACCAAGAGATGTTATTATATTCTCATAACTCAATTTTGAGTTGACCTTTTCTTCTGGTTAAAATTTCAGTAGTGAACGAAACCAAAACAGCTTTCTTTTGAGGGAAGCCAAATACTTTGCTACAATTTTTTTTCCCTTTGTACTTGCAAGAATACAGCCAACTCTCAATTATTTGCAGTGGATGGGAAAGGGACGTTATGGATAGTAAAAGTCCGTGGTATATAATGCACTGACTGTTTTACTAATGATTTTAAACTCCTTCGGTAAATCGAGACTTAACAAAGAAACAGACTGATTTGAATTTGATTTCCAAATGTTTCTTTTCCACCCTCAGGGTGAAATGCTAATAAAAGGAAATAGAGCCCAAGACCTAACAGTTGAAAAAAGAAGACAAAACAAATCTACCAAGTAAATAGCCCTTCAAAAATTGAGAGTGATTGTATTTCTGCAAGACTCAGTCATTGGGGAAGTTACTAACTGGAGTGAATAAAATGGAAGAGAAGTGTGACTCCGTGGCCCAGAGGTTCTTCCCTCAGACTCCAAGCTTGATCTCACCTCTGCTCCAGCTTTAAAGCTTCCTGAGTGGAAGAAGCGTTTCTTAAAATATAATTTTCCCTTTCAGAAATACAAAGAAATGAGTATGGAGAAGCTATCTGTCCTTTTTTCATGTGACAGGGAGCATATGTATTAGGGTATAAAACGAAAGAGAAAAGAAACCACCAATCTGGGGTGAGCTTCCCTGCCCCGGATGAGAAAAGATCTTTGGGGCCACTCAGGGATCTTATATTTAGCTTTGTATTTTCCTGAACTCTGTGCAGTCCACAAAGGACAGGCATGACCAAGAACACTCAGATTAAGGGACCGATTTCATATTTAAGAATACTGGGTAAGAAATGTTAAATTTGAGTTAGACTCAACTGTCTTCCAACGCCACGTTGGATGTCATTTGTAACAAATTGATTCATTAATGAAATCCCATTATCACTCTGTCCCAGGAAGGGGGTAGTATACAGAATCAATGAGCCTGTTTAAATTCTGCCAGTCCCTCAGATTGGAGTGAGATCCTGTCAGTCTCAGTGAGCTCAAAATTTTGAAGGATGCCAGGCACAGTAACACAAAAAACCAAAATCTCATCCTTCACTCCCTACCGTGGACAAGATAATGTAGATCAAGTCTCTATGACATGTTTAGACTTGGTTATGAAGTACGATTCCTCAAATGTGCTCAACGTTGTTTATACACATACATAAATATTCCCCTTCATTAGATTTTATATCATCTAAAAACATTAATCACTGTAACCCACTTAAGAATTTCTCCCTGCTTATCAGCTCATCTGCAGTGGTTCGTGCACGCAAAGTTAGAATGAGACTGAGTTGTCAAATGTATTTTTAGTTTCCTACTAACATTATAATCTGTCGAGGCAGTCCACTGAAACTTCGGAATCATGAAGACTGCAAAAGTGCTACTCAAATCAAATCTCACTCTTCATTAATGGGGATTTCAGGCCACCATAAAAGATACATAGGTATATATTAGACATCGCAAATATTCAAATAAGTTTTTTTTAGGAAAACAAAGCTATTCTTTTTTTGTCACACATGAATTGAAATGATTTTCACACCGTTTTGCAAGGGGTCGATGTATTCTGCAGGGACAATGACCTTCCTGCTCCATCCAGGCTTTTTCTGCTCTCAGCCTTCCATCTCTAACACGAGTGCTTTTAATACCATGTAGTTTTTCACTAGAATGTGTGGAAGTGAGTCTTATATGCTATCAAATGTGGCAGATCTGTTAAAGTCACAGGAAGAACTGATTCAAGTGAAGCATGGAGACAACATCTGAATGATGGAAATTTATCAAGGAAACAGCCAAACTGAAATCAGGTAGAGGATTTTTTTGTTGTTGTTTTGTTTTCAAGAATTTTATGTCACTTGCAACAATCAAGGTGTGCCAGTCTTCAAGGACAAACAGTCACCAGCACCTGCTAGCATTACCTTTAGCTTACCTAGGGTCCAAGACATCTTCAGAACACATGACCATGCACTGAGTCACTATGCATAATTTGTCTTCCCTGACAAAACCTTATCATTATTAAAAGAAAACCCACTCCTCCACTGACCATGTAACTAGAGTTTGGATAAGATAACATTTATCCCATTTGGATTGTGGCTTTGGTTTGTTTCCTGATGTTTAGAAGCCTTGGCAGTTAAAGTCAAAAGGAAAAAATGGAAATATCTGAATAAATGTTTGGAAATCTGAGCCAGAATACTTAAAAAAAAAAAAAGAGCCCTAAATAGGATGAGAATCACCATAATATTAGTTGCTGATTAAATCAGGATTCTGATGTCTGCGTATATCAAACACACATTTTGGTTTGTTTTATTCTTCATACAATGTAATGCTGCTTACCTGTTGATGCTTTTTGTTTATTCCCCCAGACTTGACTCTTAAAAACAATCATTAGGTAAGATGACAGATGCAAATTTAAACGTGTCATTTTTCCTTCTTTTTTTTTTCTTTTTGGTTTGAAATAAGATATTTTCTAGAATGGCATGATATAAAAAATCCAAACACAAAACACACGTGGACACATAAAATGACAGGTAATTTCCTTGTGCCTGAAGTGGCTTAAAAAAATTGAGATCATTGAAATTTCATAGTTGAAAAAAATGTTTCTGAATGTATAAATAAAGCAGTAGTTTTGAATAGAAACAGGAAGTTACCTAGGCACATTCATCAGCCACATGGTAGCTACCTCTAAGCCTCATTGTTGATTGCGTAAATGAGACTTTCTTTGTATCACATTAAGGTTTTTTTTTTGTGTTTTTTTTTTTACAGAAACAAAAGAAAGCATGTTGGTTTCATATTCAAATGAATTATGCCCAGGATAATCCTTATTTATACAAAGAGTTCAGAGACTGAAAAAGAGAAACGAAAAGCACAGTTCCTATACATGTTCCTTAAACCCCCTGAAACTCAGGGGCCTGCTTCTCAAAGATAAAACTTAAGTGCCACCCGTGAAATACATGAGAAGCTTGAAGGACGGAACAGAAGAAAGTACACATCTAGGATTCTCTCTAGAGCATGGAAAACCATTACGGATGGGTATCACCAGATGGAATTTCTCTGTAGCAGCACATGCTACATTTTCTTGGATCCATTTGTGCCTCTGATTTGGCTGCAAAGATAGGGAGCCACTTTCTAGACTTGAGTTTCCAATTCATGGGGTTTCAAATAAGAGAACCGGGCTCATTTCTGTTAACAGGTCACAAATAGTTGAATATTGACAATTTCAGAACAGCCAAACTCATTACTGATATTGACCTAATGGGATTATGATTTGCCTTTTAAGTTTTTTTAGTTTTTAAAAGCCTACCTTTTTTTTTTTTTTTTTTTTTTTTTACAGTGCACTTAATGCATTTCCCTCTTCCTTCTGGACTAAGACAGGTTCCCCCGACTTAGTTTGTGAAAAGACTTTCATCTAATTCCAATGATCCCTTCAGAAAGCAACTCTGTGCATAATTCAACCAACAAAGTTCCATCAGTCTTAATTTCAGGTAAAACTATACAGGTTGAACATGGATTCCATGAGTCAAATATGCAAAGATGTTTGTTAAGTCAATCTAATTCATTTTAGACAAAGTTTTGCATCATTCTCAATGCAAATATATCTCCTTTGGCTTTGAAGATTGAGCAAACCTAATTCTTTTGGTTCTTATCGATATAAATCATATAATTTCTTGATTGTCAACTAGCATTTTAAAAGCTTACCTAACTTCCACTAACAGAATCTTCAATCTGATTGGTCCTACTTGTCTCAGAGTTAAACTGAAACAAAAAGGTCTATTTTTTGTCCTTCTTCCGACAACACCAGGGTATGAGAATACAATGACAGGAGGCAAAAGGTGGCTGTTCATGGCAGATGAACAAAGACTGAGGTGAGAAGACAAAACCTAGAGGCGTTGGACTTGAGAAGGAAGACTATTGTTACAAATACAATGAGACCTTTTCAGGAGACCACTCATCACTTAACAGAATATCTAAGCCTTTTTTTGACAAGTGACCTTTCAGACCAGTTCGGGAAGGACCTTTAGTTCAAAGTTCACAGAAAGGAATTTCAACCTGTTAAGCAAGTGTCTCAACTTATTGGTGGCCATCAATACAGGTGTCACTATTCAAGAGAGCTAGTAAGGAACCAGAAAAGCTCACGGAATGAATATAAAGCCTTTTGGCTCTGTCAGTTGGTATCCAGAACTCTTCATGCTGAAACTGCTGAACACAGCAGGTGCGAGCTATCAACAAATGCACATTAACGAAAAAACAAAAACAGAAACAGAAACAAAAACAAAAAAAACACCTTTTGTTTTGCTCTGTTTTGCAGTATATAAAACACCAGTGGAAGGTAGTTTAAACAAACAACAAAGTAAGAACTGGTCCGGCCATGTAGGTCAAATAAAATTCTTAAAAAGAAAGGAGAAGAAAAGGAAAACAACCTCTATCTTCTGGACTGCAATAGGGTGCCACTTCATCTTTGGTATAAAATAGGCCATCCATAGGCTGAATTTGATCACAACTAGGAAAGACTACAGAAATTGTCAACAATTTCTCTATCTATTGCTTTTTTTGTTTTTTTTTTTTTTGCACTTTTTGACCATAAGCTCCTATCTACTTAAGTTTTTTTTTTTAATGCTCTTAAGCTAGGTTTTGCAATGTGACAAGCAAAGCTGACTAAAAACTTTGTAAAGCTCATAAAAAAGACTGCAGATAAAAAGCACTAATGCTTTTGCTAGCGATCACGCTTCGTAAATAAAAAAAATCTGCATTCTGCCCCCAAACACGCATTATTTCTAATGCAGTTGTTTTTAAACCAACATTAATAACTTTACCGTAAAATGTTTTAGCCTTCTAGAATGATTCAACACTTAAGACAAAGTTCATGAAAAGTCCCAGCATTTTCCCAATTCTTGCAGTTGCCATGGTTTCTTTTATCAACAAATTTTCTTCAAATGAAGAAAAAACATTTTCTTTTAAACTGTACAGTTTTTTTTCACCCTAAAAACTCATAGTCTTAAACTTCTGTACCAGTTAAAGCCGGCACAATATTTCAATTCTTTCTTGAATTTTTTTTAACAAGACGTTGACAGCTTGCCTCGAGAGCCTTTGACGTCCTTAAAATTAAGGCAATTAAGATTCAAGATAAACCTTACCTAAATATTTCTAAGAAAAAAATAAAATAAAAAACAACCCACTAGATTTAAACAAAAGGGGGAAAAGAAAGAGTAGCTTAATTACTGAGGAAGACAATTTGTTTCCATTTCTGCTTTGCCCACCTCTTGACATCTGATTTTCTGTTAAAAAAAAAAAATCTGTCTACATCTTCTGGTAAATTCTGAATTCAAATGTTCTTCCAAATATAATGTCAACTTTCTGTGTTTTGTTTTGTTGTTGGTTTTGTTTGTTTGTTTCCTCTTCTGGGATTTTTTCTTTAAAAAAAAACGATGGCGAAAGTAAACTGTCAGACCACATGAAGGAACCATTTGCACAGCACATAAAAACACTTTGTTTTCACTGGGTAGAGTAGAAAATTAAAAAAAAAAAAAAGCATTCCATCGACGCCTGTGCAAACTGGAAGCCAACTTCCTGTTCAATGAAGTTTCTTCGTTCAAGGCAAAGTTTCAGAAGGACATTCTTCAGTCTTGTTTATGGTCTGTGGAAACAATTGAGTATGAGTGGTCATTATATCAAAGCAACTTTGAAATCACCTCATGTGCTCTTTTCCAGTGAGGTCTCTTTAAAAGATACCAAGCTCTTTCAATATCTAGAAAATTGTACAAGTTTTAAATCCTGCCACTTTCATACAATTATATATTTGAGCCAGAGAGTTTGTTCACATTAAGTATCAAGGCTAATAGAACAAGAATATTTTTTGGTCTAAAGTAATAAGTACTACAACATATTTGAGCCAGAGAGTTTGTTCACATTAAAGGTCAAGGCCAATAGATCAAGATTATCTTTCAATTTAAAGTAGTAAATATGACAAAAATACCCAGACAAGTAATACTCCCTATGTGAACGGAACCTATTTTTCAATGTCTGGCTTATGTTTTAGGTACCCCAGAAATTCTGTCCTTTCAAAACTCCTGTGGGATTCATCACTAATTCAGTCAACAAATGTGCCCATCCCTACTATGTACCCAAGATACAGCAATGGTTGGTGTGTTACCCTGTGGTATTCACCAAGTATAATCACATAAGCCTTATTTGGCCCAATAAAGTAGTAAGACAGTTAAGAGGGAATGGGTTTTGTTCACTTTCCCTCATCCCATCTTCTTCCTTATTTACCCATCTCATCAAGATTTTTAATTCTTGAGAACAGGCACTATATTCTACTACTTTTTACTCTCCATGAATCTGGCAGATGGTATGCACATAATAGGTGTTTCACTAGACAAATGACATTTTTACTTATGCCACTTGGCCTAGCCTAGCCCAAATAATGTCTTCTCCTTCTGCCCCATCTACAATTGCCGGACTGAGCTTCTAGTGGGTTGACTTCCACGCTTAGCTCTTCCATCCACAGACTAGAACTTTGTTAAATAATTTCAGGGATATGCTATAGAAACCGATTTTTGAAACTACAGGTCAATTTATTTATTTTAAAAGATTTTATTTATTTGAAAAGTTGGGGGAGCAGCAGGCAGAGGGATAAGCAGGCTCCCCACTGAGCAAGGAGCCAGACCCAGGACTTGACGCCAGGACCCTGGGATAATGACCTGAGCCGAAGGCAGACGCTTAACCAACTGAGCCACCTAGGCGCCCCTACAGGTCAGTTTAGATGAAGCTCACTTCTCTCAGTGCTTTGCAGGTTCTTCTGACGCCCAGTTGCTTAATTTACTAAAGAGGCCTCAGGGTTGCTGAGGTTGTACAGGTTGTTCACTGCACAAGATGCATGACTGAGTTTGTGGGGGCTAAATTCCCACCCAAAGTCTGGTGCAGGGCTGCATCTGCTCTGAGCAAGTGGGCTTTATTCAAATTTACAAAATGCCCTTAAGGATGTTTTAAGGTATATAACAGGTAGGCTGGGATGATCCAGAGAAGTTCTTTTTCCTAATTTGGAAACAGCACTCATACGAATTCGCTACGTCTCTTAGAAGCCTGATAAACTTGTTCTTAGAATCATGTAAGAAAAGCAACTAGTTGATAGTTGATATTTCCATTTTTAACCAATAGTTTAAGTTTCTAGGAATACATAGTTTGTGTGTGTTATGTGAAAAAGTGGGGCTTCTTTTAAGAAGAAATGCAATTAAAAATTTCATACCATCAGCAACAATTAGGGAAACTTTATTAGTAGTAGTCATGGGAACCATGGTATATATGTGCTCTCTATTCCTTTGCAAAATACAGATTTACTCCATGAATTTCTTAATTCATGGAGTAAAAACTTTTCTCTTTGTTCGGTTTTATGTTTTTGTTTTTTGATCTGTTCTTTGCTCCCACTCCCATCTTCCACCTGGTCTTGTTATTCATTTAGCAGAAAATGCCTAATATACCATGAATCTCTGGAACAGCTGCTCCATGAACGGTGTCTTAGTCAATGGGCTACCCTGACATACAACACCCACACTGCTCAGGTATGTCACGTGCACTGATCTTGAGGCATCCATATTTATGAGCTAGGCTACAACTACTTTCAAGCTCTAACCTTACCAAATGTTTCCAATGGCCCTCTCCCATCAAGTGGTCTCATTGTTACCTGACAACAAGTGGGGAGCAATGAATGGCTGTCCTTTGCCTTTTCTTGGTTGCTAGCTGAAGTTGGAAGGGACAAGGTGTTGCTATTTAATAGAACTGAATTCACTCCTATCCACCTTCTCTGTCCTAGATGAGATGTGAAAGTGCACATTTACATAATGCTTCTGTATTGCCCTGAAACTTCTCATCCTCCCCTCCAGTCCCCAAAGAAAGCAGAGTGAATAGATTAGGAAGTAGCAAACCACAGGCTTAGAATTCCAGACTTTTAGAAGTGGAAAGACATCTTTGGAATCATCTAAGGATGCAATGTCCCCCAGTGTCATTCCTGACAGATTAGCTTCATGTGATGCTGTGTGAAAAGAGGGATTCTGTGGTCCAGAGTTTGGGGGAAACTGCACATTATGCTCCCACTCCTGCACTACCCATAGGTAAACTAAACATATAGGAAGGGCACCAACCAAGAAGGGTATCAATATAAAAACAAACTTATTTAAAGAACGTAATCTTTTCAATTAGTATCAAAATAATTATCCTGTTGACAGTGAACACTTTGTTACAGTTCTTTAGTAATTTAATATGTTTGAAAAAACTCTCAGAATTCCCAAGTAGGAAGTCCAGCCTACAGGACACGCTAATCTTTCAGGAAGTGAAATGTTTGATTTATCTGGCTCTCTAGGAGGTCCGGTCATTAGCATTTTAATAGCTTTGAAGAGAACTGCAATTAAGAAAGCATTTCACTTAGGTTAGAGGGTGTTTGCCTAAACTCCTTGGGACCCCCACTCCTCCACCCCAACTCCAGGGAATGGTGGTAAATCCTCCCTCAGCACTGAAAGCTAATTTACACTCTTGGGAGAACACTGATCTAATCTCTTGCTCTAAAGAAGAGGAAAAGGAGGCTCCAAAGGGCTGAGTGACAACTAGTAGGTGGCAATCAGAATTTAACTTTGCTTGAAGACTTGTACTTTTCAAGCCCTTGTCATTTTTAAGATTTTTAAGATTTCTTAAATAGCACAAAGAAAAACTGCTAACTTGGGCAGGAACTGGAATTTCCACAGAACTTCTCAAAACAAACCACAGGTATCATATCTGTCTTTGCAGATAAAAGCCCCGAAATTCCCTTTTGCATGAGTAGCCTCTTTTAACAAGGAAAAAAAAAATCATGAATACAAAATGTGAAAACCTGTTTTTTAGCTTGGAAAGTGGCATTTGAAATAGTAAAATATTTGCTGCTATAGATCCCAAATATAACCTTTCGATTCATATATGCACATCATTTCTACTTCTCAAACTTTGATCCTGCAACGTTCTGTTGTGATGTCTGTGATTTTCTTCAAAATATCTTTAGTATAGACATTATGGTGTGATGGGTTAAGCTCCTAAGTGTGATGGGTTAAGCTCCTTTTCCAGGGCACTCAGCTACCCTCGTCCAAATTTCACACCCCACAGGAGGTCAGCTACCATTTAATGAGAAAGGCCAGAGGTTTGCAGAAGTACTTTAAATTGTCCGTATCTCAATTAGCATAATGATCGTCAGAAATGGGTTGCCTAAAGAAAGTAGTGGCATGTTAATTAGCATAATGATGCTGGACATCAGCTGCCATTTGTGAAATTTGGAGTATTCAAGATCACTTGGATAGGCTAAAATATTTTAGAGATCCTCTCCACTGTAGGTGAAAGATACAGTTAGAATGTATGGACATTTGTAGCCTTATAACTTTAGGGATACTGCTTGTGGCTTGATCTCAAAACAATTTATTAATTTATTTGTGCCTGCTTTCTTATGAATGCTTCCCTGACAAATGTCTCTGTGGGAACTCTTGCGTCCCTCAAACTTTTCCCAGGGATGGTTATATAAGAACCCAGGTGTCTACATGAACCACATACTTAGCTCAATTCCCAGGGTCTTCTTAAATGGTTCTGTAGACTCTCATGACTTACCATGACACAGATCAGCTGCCCTTGGCTGAAACTGATAAAACCTTGGATAAAGCCACACTCATTTCTTCCTTTTAGAAAATTTCAGAATAGATTGTTATCCATCAGTGTATTTGACCTAGAATACTATTTTTGTTTTCATGCAATATATTATTGTTCTCTTTTCAAGTCAAAAAACCTCCCAGCACTTAGGGACAACATGTCAGAGAGAGTAAGTTGAGAATATAAACAGGACCTGTTACCAATTTTCTCCAGATTGGAAGAAATGTACACGAGGCCATGCAAGTGGTGTTTCATATGGCACACGTTTGAAATGTCCCATGTTCCAGTGTGCTTTCATCTCTGGGATGTTGCCACAAACTCGCCCTGTGGAACATCCTGTAACATACATTCCTGAATAAGTGCAAAGGAAAATTCCTCCCAATGAGGAAATCCCTCGCCATAATGCTTACCACTGTGGGGACACACGGGGAGGTTTTCCTTCTTTGATACCCTATCATCTGTGGAAAGGCCCGAGTTATCAGCCATAGGAATCTGAGGTTCAAGGCATGTAACCATGTGACCACAGTGGTGGTGGTGGGAGGTAGTTTTAAAATGTTTAAACACTTAAAGCTTTCTGTGGTCAGACTCAGACTTCCTAGTATAGTTCAAGGAATAAAGCTTCTTTGAATTGACTTATTATAAGGATAATTAAATCCCTTATCTTTCTCTATAGATCAGGCCCTCCTTGGTTTTATCTTATCTGCCCCTGTTAGTAGCATCAACAACTCCAGGGTTTTGTTTGGAATTGTAAAGACCGTTTTCCTTTTTCCTCTTACTTCAATCTACCCTTCCTGCCCTTACCCTCACCCTCTACCCCATTGCACTTGCCACCATCTTACTTCAGACCTTTGTTCCCTATTGTCTGAATTCTTGCAATCATTGGACTGTTTCCATTGCTTTCAAATCCACTGTTTACCTCAGCTGGAGGAGCATTTGTAGAACAAAAGAAGTGCTGTCCAAGCACCTCACTATGACATCTGATGTTAGAATCTGGGTCCAACCTGCTTTTTTACACTATTGTACTATTCTGAATCCCCTTCTCAGAGAAGCAGTCTGAGCTTTCCCAACCCTGGACTTTGGCCAAGCTGTTACTCCCCCTGGAACACTCCTTGACTCTGTGTAAGAGCCAGTTCCAGTTGCCACAACCACCAAAGCTGACCCAGTTGAGAAAAATTAAATGCATTCTCCTATTACTATAGTATTCTTTAAAAGAGCCCTGTTCATTTTCTCCCTTGCAGTAGACACATCATGTCTTATATGTACATCCAAATCCCGTACTAGATTGTAAACTCTGGAGGGGCAGGGATCCTGTCTCTCAGCAGAGAAACTGGCCTGATGCTGGATGCTCTTAAGTGTGGAAGTGGGGAGGGAGACTGTCAATGGAATCTGGGAGAGGCAGACACGTCCTCTCCAGGTCAGGCAGGGCATCCTCTTTCCCACCACATCATACAATGGTCGTGAAAGGTAGGGACAACCTGAGAAAGAAGAGAGCATCCCATTGTGGGCTCTAAGTGGGGGCAGCTGAAGCTGATTGAATCAGGCAGGGAAAAGAGAATGTTACAGATAGTCGCAAGAAGGGGGACATTTGTATCCTGAAAGCCATTCTTGAAACACATCCTTCCACACCCAGACTCCACTGGTTAGTGGAGTCCTTGAAATATAACTCAATTGCTGGCATACCTTCCCTTAATGCCTTCCAGAGCTTTAGTGGCTCTCTTCAAATAAAACTGAGAATGATTCCTGTATACAAAGCCAAGTATCCAAGGGCCAAAGGCTCTATAAAAACTGCCTGTTTGACTCTGTCTCCTACATCCACCCCCTCCGACTCTTTCACCACACTCTAGCCACAGGTCCCCATTCTAGACCTTTGGTCTTCCTGTTTTTTCTGCCTAGATTGGTTTTTTCTCCAAATCTCTCCAAGATTAGCTTGTAATTATTATCTTTCAGATCCAGGCCTCTGTGAGAGGCCTTGCCTGATACCAAATCTTAGGTCTTTATGCTGTCATTTTCTATCACAAGAATCTTTTTTACATATTGGCTTTGGCTTTGCAATTTCGTTTTTTTTTTTTTTTTTGGATTGTTTGCTGATTGGTCCACTGACTGTGAGTCTACTCCTAGCAGGAAGTAAACTCCTAGAGAGTAGGAAAGGCGCCTGCCTCCTTCATTGTTCTTTTCCTGGCATCTGGAATTCTGGGGGTCACGTAGTAGGCACTATATCAATAATTGTTGACTGGGGGGATGGAAGCATCTCTTTTATTTATCCAGACATCATTGAACTGTTAGCAAGAAGGGTCTAGGATCACTCACTTCCTCATTATGCTCTGAAACAGTTCAAAAGCCAGCTTCACCTACTCACCAAGTGGTTCTGGCAAATACAGCAGCTCTCATTTCCCACCAGTGTCTCTCACCGTGCTTCCCACAACCAGTCTCTGCTCCTTTCTCACACATTACCCTCTGAACAGACTGAAAAAATTCCAGTATGCTGGGAACAGAGTACCAGAGACTACCATATTGTTCCGTGTGTGTGAAAGGGATTCACATAGGCTATAGGTGAATTATAAATACAAACAAGAAACAAAACCAAAAACACAAAATGGTTTATTTTTATGGATCTTTCCTGAAAGCTGTTATGTGAAAGTAATAATAATAATAAAATTTTTATTATTATAAAGGTTAAGTCATGTGGTCAGCATATTTAATTTGGAAGACTACCTTTAGAAGCTAAGCTACTTAGAGGAGACTCCATTACCATGATTAATCTTTCAGCAACAAACAAATCTCTAAATATGTATTGAGGTTAAAGAGGAATGATTAAGAAATGGGAGCAACACTCAGCAGACAGGAAGGATCTCTCCAGAATTCTCTATTCACTGGGGCTTTGATTGCTACCTACAGATTAGAATAGTGTGCAGGACAAGACATCCGTATACAGACTGAATTTTTGTTAATTACTTTGGCTTCAAAACCTCACAAATTTTAGTTTACCTAATTACTCAACACAAAGCCAACAGTACTTTATAAGTGATTTAAAGATTTGCAAGAGTAATTCTGATACATGATTGTTGCTTTGTCATTTAATTCCTAAATAAGACTCCACGTTGTTTTAGATTTTATAGCACCCTTTTTCATGAATTACTTTACTGGGTGTTCAAGGTATCCCTGCAAAGGGAGTGATACTGTCTTCATTTAAGAATTCATGCAGGCTTACTATCCAGTTTCAAGTGGAAATACTGGAGTTTTTTCCAAAAATATGTATAGTAGTTTTTTTTTTTTTAATGCCCCTTTCTGTATTTAAGGCTTAAGTGAAATTTTACATTAACTCTGGGCGTGGCCATATGACTTGCTTTGGCCTATGGGGCAGTAGTAAATGTGTCCAAATGGACTGAAAAGTGCTTCATTTGGGCTTCTCCTCTTGCTGCTCTCTGAATTCTGGGACTTCCATGTGAATAAGCTGATGCAGGATCAGAAACACATAATCCGATTGCTTCCATCATATTCAACCAACAGACAACTAACACCCAGAAGCAGAGCCGCAAAAATGACCATCAGCTGTCCCCAGGTGCTTGAGCAATTCTAGTCAAGACCAGAAGAACCATCCACCTGAGGTCGGCTTAAGTTGCCGGCCCATGAACTAAATAAATAGACCCATGAACTAAATAAATGCTTGTCACTAAGTTTGGGATGGTCTGTACTGCAGCAAACGCTAACAGATACAACATGAGAGAATGGTGACAAGATGGTCGATCTTGAGGAAAAGAGCTTAGTGTAGCCCGAACTTACTTAGACTGTTGGTAAGAATATGCAGGTGCATGTTCGTTGGATGTGTCCACTGCTATCTGTTGCTGCTGACCACTGGTGTCCTGGGATGAAGGTGCCACTGTCTGGGGAGAGGTATCAGCAACAACACCCTAAGGAGGCAAATAAGAACACAAAAGCCTTACTGGCTTTAGCAAAGGGCCTTCTTCCAGATGGACTATAGGGAATACCCCTCTTCTATTTGGCTTGAGTAGAGTTGCACTCAGCCAAATGAAGCTACAGGAAGTACCCCAGGGAAAACCAGAGAGCACATTTGGATAAAGGCTGAGGAATTCACTTCAATGTGTCACCAAGAGGCCTTGCCTTCAGAAACCTCTACTGTAGTCGAATGGTCAGAAAATCATTTTCACCAAACTTAGAACTTTTAAACCATGGTTGCATATAGCCACACTAAATAATTTATTAATCAAAAGCTCATGCAGGATTCCTATAAAAACTTGTATATTCAAATATTTCCCTGGGGTAGAGTACCGTGTCGTGTCATGTCTCTTTGACTTGGCAAAACAATGGACCTAAAAAGAAAAGAAAGGAAAGAAAAGAAAAGAATACATAAAAGCTTGGAATTCTTTTAAAGGCATATTGTTAGGTAGGTTTTCCCTTCAGCAATTTGGTTTGTTTTGGTTTGTTTTGTTTTCTACAACATGAACTAGAATTCATTTCGAGGTTTCAGAAAACAGACATCTTTAATCTTGATTTGCTACTTCTCTCACCCTCTCATTTCTCCCAGATACCAACAAGGATGCCAACAAGGAGTTGACCATCATTAAGGGATAGATGTTTGCTTCTGAGAAAGGCACAGGTGGTTTTATCTGGCAGGTGGGAGGCCTAGAGAAGGTATCTCTCTGAATATGTTCTCTTGGTTTTACTCATAGCCTTGGACACCTACAGTGATGTCAGGTTTCAAACGTTTTGGTCAACTCTCTATCCCTAACTAAACTGTTCTTCAGAATCCAAAAATTCTCCCTATATTCTCCCTAATTCTCCCACCAGCATTTAAGTGTGCGGATATTGGTGAATTTTCAGTGAGTGTTTTACATAGAAAAGAGATCGGTGCTTTTTCTATACGCACAAATTCAAAGCAATATATTAAAGAGTACCTCCATTTTTCTTAGTGAAAGACTTTTATTTATTTATTTATTTATTGTAATCGTTATGCCCAATGTGGGGCCTGAACTCACGACCCTGAGATCAAGAGCTGCATACTCCACCTACTGAGCCAGCCAGGTGCCCCAACCCAAAGGACTTCTTTTTAACTATAGACTTCTTCTTTAACTATAATTAGACTGTTTCTAATAAGTCACAGTGTCAAATGTGTCCCATTATTTTATAGTCATCAAAATGCTCAAATTCTGTAGATAAGCATATCCATATGTCAGTATAGACAAAGAAGAATGCAAATATGTGGTAGAGATATATGCTTAAAGTGCCTAGAATGTCTAGATTCATTAACTGATGATCTAGATGCTTTTTGATGATCAAATACAGCAACAAACAAACAAAACCAAAAAAAAAAAAACCCACATCTATTTTAAACACATAGTCTTGAAATTCTGAAAAGCCAATTAAAACCTGATTAATACTGACACATTCTTTGGGGCCCACAGATCTAGAGCACATAAAAGATTTAAAACTGGACCTCCTTGGCTTCCTAAATTACATGATGGTATTCTCTTAAACTTCTGTTTTTCCCAAACCTTGGTACTAGCAAACATCTGGCATATACCAAAACAAACACTGTGTAAGATCCAATTTATTCTGTGAAGATTTCCCCAATCTCTGTAGTTGTAGAGATTGAGCAAGTCATGGTAGCCTTCTATGTGGAGTGGTGCCAGCACCCTCGTTGCTGGCCAACGCATGGACTAGCAATAGCATGGACTCCAGAGGAGTCCCTGCTGTTGGGAAGAAATGCACTGTGACCATAATGGCAAGTGCCATCAGGAGTAGGGGAGGAGGGGCAAGAGACAACAATAGCTAAGACTAGACAGAAATATACACATCTAAGTGTTTTACCGCTATCTACATAGCTCTATGCTCTCTTCCTTTCTATGTAGCTTGCCGGCTCTGTCCAGTAAAGTAATGTGTACAGGGGATGGATTCAGCCCAATGGAAAGAGGGAAGGGAAAGGAACAAAGTTTCTATTAAAGACAAAATGTCTTCATCATTTGAGGTATCCACAGCCATAAGAGGGTGCAAATAAATCGGAATCTGGGGATGGGACCCAGGCATAAATATTTTTTTAATCTCTCTAAATAATTGCAGAAAATAATATACAGAAAAGTTTGAGAACCAGTGCACTAATGTGAACATAGATTCCCAAGGGATCTTGTTAAAATGCAAATTCTGATTCAGTAAGTCTGGGTGGTGTCTCAGACTTTGCATTTCTAACAAGCTTCCGGTGATGCTGCTGATGACGCTGGCCCAGGGACACTCTTTTGAGTAACAAGGCACTAGCAAACTCATTTTTGCTGGTTTAGTGGCAAACATTTTTTCCTGCCCTATTCATGAGTATTTGCGGTTAACCTTTAATGGGGTAGTGATCTGGTCTCTGATCTTTTAAGTATTAAAACAATACTCCCCTCTTACCTCTACAGCAAACTGGTTTATTTCGTGGGCAAAGCACAGCATAGGCATGTTGGTGCACTTTCATATAGTGAACTTGCAATGTCAGATTTTAGAGTGGCACAAAACCACACATAAAGATTGCTTGGGTTATGGGGGCCCACAGTACATGCGGCTGAGATTTGTCATCCCTACCTCTTTCTATAAGACAGGGACAGACTTACTTCAATAGAAACAGCTGTCGGAGGCACAGGCGTGTACTGGGGAAGGTAGGTCCCTTGCATAGGCGCGGCAGCAGTCATATACTAGAGAGAACCAAAGAAAAATGCAGGTGAACTTGAGATTGCAATCAGCGAGAAAAGTAGGTATCACATGAAACTGCTTTAAATGTGTAGCCCACAGTCAGTGCGTTATTACACTCTATGTCCACCAACAATGGGGCAGTTCCTATCGGCAGAGAATGAGCTTGGCTTGTTGAGTCAGCATGAGCAGCAGCCTACCTCCACTGTACAGGTGCGGTATCGTCCCCCTTCCCTCACTCTGTCTTTGTAGCCGTTCTATCTTAGATTCCCACCATGGCAGTTTCATGTCTAAAACATACATTCCATAAGGGCAGGGAGGATGTCTGTCTTTTTTTCCTTCTCATTTTATTGCTAGCACCTATCACACAGTAGGCTCTCAACGAATCATTTGTTGAATGAATGAATCATCAGATTGTTAGCGATCATTTCTTTTCTAACTAAAAAAAGAAAAAAGAAAAATACAGGAATAACGCAAGCGATGCGCATGTAGCTGTATTCAGAATTGGCGCATGTTCTCATTTTGTCATTTTCCTTTCACTTTTTTAGGTGCAAAAGAAATAGTATTACAGATAATGACAAAGTCTCCTTTGTGCCCTCCCCCCCTTTCCATGCTCATGTCACTGGCAGTATTTTTCTTTTCAACTCCTTTAATTCTCTAAATGTTCTTCATCTGGATGGACAATGAAACCCTCAAACCATTTTTCACTAAGTTGTAGTTTTCAGTAAACCATGCATTGGGAATAATAACCTGCAGTTTTGCATTGCAGAAAGGGAGCCCCAGGAAAATTACTTGCTCACCCACATAAGCCAAATTCCATATTCCCATGTCTAATGCCTATCTCCCCTGCAAATTCAACATTCTACCCTTTGAGAATAGAATTTTCTGTGGAATCAGCTGTATTCCTGAACTTCAAAACTTGACCAACATCACAAAACATCAGAACCAGTATCATCTACTGAAGACAAGTTTTCTCCATTCACGAAGGTTAGAGACATGATTTTGATGGAAAACTGCAAGCCTCTGCTACTTTATTCTTCTAAATTTGCTAAGTTCAAATATAAATGCCAAGCATCAATATGCAAAACCTAAATTACTATGTTTGGTGTATCCTGGTCCTTTCAGTGTGCAAGCGACGTAATGGTTCTGAATCAAGGGGAATATCTGAATGGAGATGAGCTCATCAGTTGTTCAGTTGTTGGTGTTGTTGGTCGGTATTCATGGAGAATGATAGCAATTAAGCAGCTCTGGAATAAATGTATTTCCATCCTAAACTAAAAACTGTCTTACTGTATCTACTTGCTAAAAATAGAGACAGGCTTAATGAAACAACCCTAAATCAAACAAACCAAACTGTTGTCTATTATCCACATGTAGCAACTAATAACTGGGTAACACTAATGACAACTAAGTTCAGTTCCAATCTATATTAAAAAAAAACAAACAAAACAAAATAAAAAAAACAACAACAAAAAAACTTGTCACTTGGACTAAGAGCAACTATTTGATGGCCCGGAGATATTACTAATTTCGGTTTACACTTAAAAATCACCAGAGATTTCTATGTATTATCTCCTGTGTTCTCACAGCAGCCATCAATTTTCTACTGAAATTGTCCAGACTGTCATCTCCTTAAAGGCACGGGCCAAACTCTTCATGCCTCTGTATCTTCCAACACACCATGCCATGCCTGATACTCAATAAATAATTGTTCAATGGCTGAAGAAAAAGTTGCAAGAAGAAAGCCTTCCATTTCCAGTTACAAATCTTGCACTCCCTTAGCTGTTAATAATTCTGAGCTCACTGTAGATAGTAATTTCATCACCCCTATAGTTCATTTGTATAACCTTTAAACATATACTTTAGCCAACTCTGCCCATTATTGTCCTTGTGTCTTAAAGCAGACATAAGTACTCAGGTATCTGATTGCTATCAATTTTTCAAATAAGTATAGAACCCGGGAGTCACCTTTCAGCAAATATATTCCACATCTAGAGCTCTACGGCAGGTGTCTGCCTTGCTAACAAAACTGCTCTAGGAAGTATTTTGGGGATAACAGTTCAGATAGGTGTTTTGCTTATATTATATAGGTTATTAAAATCCTTTAACTAAGCATTTTCTATAATGTATTGTTTTTGAATGGTAGCTCAGCTGAGAAAAGAGCTGTGTTCTAGTGCATTCTGGCAAATGCTGCAGAATGTATCTTCTTTTGTGATATTGACATACAATAAAAACTGAGAAGTCAAGTTTTATAGCAGCCTATTTAAAGATGATTAAGGGGTGCCTGGGTGGCTCAGTCATTAAGCGTCTGTCTTCGGCTCAGGTAATGATCCCCGGGTCCTGGGATCGAGCCCTGCATCTGGCTCCCTGCTCCGCGGGAAGCCTGCTTCTCCCTCTGCCACTCCCCCTGCTTGTGTTCCCTCTCTCACTGTGTCTCTCTCTGTCAAATAAATAAATAAAATCTTCAAGAAAAAAAAGATGATTAAGCCACCATTCCTTCCTTCCCTTTCTTCCTTCCTTCCTTCCTTCCTTCCCTCCTTCCTTCCTTCCTTCCTTCTGGTAGCATCTACTAATTTTGCTTAGAACTAGTTGCTGGGGGGGAGGCGGGTCGGGGGATGGGGTGGCTGGGTGATGGACACTGGGGAGGGTATGTGTTGTTGTGAGTGCTGGGTGTTGTGTGAGACTGATGAATCACAGACTGGTACCCCTGAAACAAATAATACATTATATGTTAATTAAAAAAAAAGAACTAGTGCTCTAAGGAACATACTATGGAAAATGCTTCTCTAATTGAATCTTGAAAGCCTTAGTAGATTTTTAGCAAGGGGGAATATATTTTTGCCAACTATGAATTTATGTAAGCCCAGAGCTGATTCTACTGGGGCTCATGTTCTACTTTCTGGTCATGGTTTTCCAAGACTTATAATATACTAGTAAAAGAATACATTGATTTGAGTATTTTCTATTCCAAAGTTAGTAATTCCAAACTTTGCAACTGGGTCTAATAAGTGAGAGTGTATCCTTTGCCTGAGAATATGATACCACTGGTACTTACCTATAGGACACTACTTTGATCTGTCTGCATCCCTCAGGAGCCATTTCTGTGAGTTATAAGTAGGGGCATGGCCTGGGTCACTCAGAGCAACACTCACTAGTTCTCTAGTTCACTAGTTCACCAACCTCCCTGGCCAAACTAGAATTCTCAGACAGTGTAGTTAATGAAAAGCATTTTATGTGATTCTTAGCTGATCTTCTTCAAATAACTCTGACTTAATTCAAACCCTCATCTGTGTTTTGTCCAGTAGAACTGAATCAGTATATTTTCACAACTTCCAAGACATTCAGTGAAGTTGTAAACATGGCCCAGACTGAACTGCTTATGGCACAAATTCATACTCCTCTTTAGAACAATGCTGTGAGCGAGGAAGGACGACTCACCCATTTTACAGATTGAGATAAGATCCCGTGTAATAGGAATAAACTTCTGTTCTTCTGACCCATGACTGAGGACACTTTTCAGTCTACTTCTTTATCTTTGAAATTAAGTAAATAAGGTCTTAAGACTTTCCTTTAGATTGTTTCCATCTAATATAGATGTCAAGATGGTTGTTGTTGTTGCTGTTAATGGGCTGGAAAAACTGGAGATCCATTTAAGAAACATGGAATGATATGCCTTTGGATAATATTTTTATTGCCATTTCATTTCCATGCATTTCTTAAATTTTACTTCATACTCACAATACCTAAGTTTCTTCCAGGAAGACTACCCTATATGCTTAACTTGTTTTACAATTTAACTTACTCTTCTGCTACTCCTCTGAACAGAACCAAGAGAGATTTTATAGTATTAATGACATCAGCTCAGTTTAGTGTGCTGTATCTTTTAATGAAAAAAAATATATATTTCTTTTTTTCCCCCCTCACACAAAAGATAATAGAGCTTGAGAACATTGAAGATTAGGGATAGGCTTATTTTAATCAAGTCAATACTGTGGAGCTTTATGCCCCATAAGACTATTATTTCTGGATAAACTTTTGCAATAAAATTCTGCAGTAGTAGACACATATATTCTAGGGTGAAGCCTCCAGAAGTGACAGCTTTGTAAAACTCGGAGCAAATGCTTACAGGAAATGGCTCCAGCTATGTGTAAGATCAACTCCCAGCTTTAGGTAATTGGTGACAAATAACTCTGAACTTCCTCGGCAAGCACAGTTTGATTTCCTTAAGAGCACAGATAAACTACAGTCAGATTTAATAATCCAGGCTGCACAAACACTGTTTAGATCTGGATGCCTCAGAGACTTCTTTTATTTTATCCAGCTAACAAATGACAAAAGACTAAGAGAATGCCCTGCGATATAAAAATCTGCCCTTTCGGCTTGATAAATTCTGGTGGATTACTTATTAAAACCATATCAAGAATGGATGTATATTCTTTAAGCTAATTTCTTTTATCGGTATGTCTCAAAGGCTAGAAAATATCGGCCACCACTCTTTCATGAGTGCAAATTATTTTGCATTTTTTTGATACAATGGCTGATGAGAACCACATTGCGGTGAGATGATATGGATAAAAGGAGCACGTCCATACGGTATTTCCTTGTTGGTAGCAGCCCAAGGTTTAGGCATGAATGGAGAAATTTTATGGTTTTGGTAAACAGCTTGATTATTTTTACATATTCTAAAAGCACTGGATTTTCACATGTAAGTTCAAAGGAGACCTGAATAGCCATTTTCAAACCCACAGAATAAATTCCAGACTCCATCACTTGTTCCAAGAAGTCTAGACGCTGCATCACCAAGATAGTTACACAAAGACAGAAAAAAAAAATGGTGAAATTGGAGAGGAATTGTGTTTTTGCCGATTTAAGTTAGGACAAACTGTTTCTGTTACTGTGGAATCATTGATTATTTCAGAGGAAACAAAACTCCACATTTTTACTTTTGGATTTACTTTCTCTTCCCCCACCAAAGCAAAACAAATATGTTTTATATATTTCCTGT